GAGCACTGGATTAGGTGAGGAAGAAAATCTAGAGATGGAAACTTAACAAAGTATTCAATAGTGGAAAGCAGGTGGCTGTAGACAGGATCTTGGGGACAGCAGTAAAGCTTTAACCTCTAGAAGTATTAGATGTTATAAATTATTCATCTCACCTTTGACCATCCTGAAAGAATAATTTGTGCATGTTGGTGCAATTCTAAAAACAACAAACAGACAAAAGCCCTGATAACATACTGCTGATATGTGGCGTAGAGGGATCTTAAAATAATCTTTATCCAGGGATTAAGAGTTTCTGATCTAGCACTGACCTGTTTTCAGAGTATTACAAATTCATGGCACTTGCAAAAACAAGACAAAAAGACTCTAAAACAAGAGAAAAGCAGATTTACAGCAGCATAAGTAACCAAGGTAGGTTGCATTGATGAGGAAACTTAAAACTGAAAATCATGCTTGATAAAACCTTTTTTCTAGTCGAGAACCCAAAGTGTGCTTGGGAATCTGCACATAGAAATTGTCTGGGCCTTTTAAGCCGTGTGTGAAAATGTTTATTTCCATTAGGAGTGAAAAATGCAGACCTCCAGATGCCCTCTATAATTTCTCCCCCCTGAAGGAGGAGGAGCCAGGGTGAGATGGAAACATAAACCCTGCTCTAGTCCTTGAGCCTAAATTAATGCTGCTGTTTTTAAGGGCTGAATAAACTTTGGGAGTGAATGATTTCTGTGCACAGAAAGCCAGGGAAACTTATGCTGACACTACTGACTTTGTGAACAAGAAGAAAGTTGTGTATCTCTAGGACTATGGCCATCTGAGGTGTTTAATCATTACTAGATTCATATGGGAAAAAAATAATGATTAAAGCAAATTAAGGACCAGAAAGTAATTTTTCTTTCATTGCCCAACAGTAATATGTGGGTTTGATTATTTGTTTTGGCCTGAGTTAGGGGGTTTTTTTGCATATAGTAATAGAGTTAGCATGAAATTTCATCTTGGTTTGAAGTGCCTGACATCTATATCAAATGATAAATAACACAGACTTTGGCTAGGAGTTCAGTATTTCGTAATTTTGTCTGTAAAAACATTTTCCATGGTTGATAAGGGAAATATGAGACACCAGAGCAATAAATTTCGTGCTCGTCTTTGCAGTAAAATAATAATCACTTGGGTAATACAGTCTTTTTTATATATATACATGTCAAGGGGCCTCTAGCTACGAATGTGAGCTGGCTGAAGTGTTGAATCCTCACGTTGTTACCCTTGAACTGGAGTGAGCAGGACCTTGCCTTAATGTGGGTTGATGAAAGCAACCTTTACACACTGTGAAAGATTTGCAGAGGGGTGATAAACCCTCGCAGACTGTGAGGAGGGTTGCACTCCGGCCTTACGGGCGGCTTGGAATTATTGTCGGATGAGCTTAACTTCCAAAAACGCTCCAGAGATTTGGTGGTGGAGAAACCCAAGGATGCAGCTGCCAGCGTGGTCAGGGGCGATGGCTGTGAGCCAGGCCAGCCTGGGGGATGTGCCAGCAGGGCTAAAGGAGCCCAGCTCAGCTGGTGGGGGTCGTCAGGGTCTGTTGAGGGAGCACTTCATGCTCCATCTCTTACTTTGATCCCTCTGGGGATGTTGACTTCTCAGTCAGAGAAATCTGGGCTCTCAGATTCTCACAAATAATATAAAGTATTTTTAGAATCATACAGGTACGAACACACCTTTTCTTTTGACCTGTTGGAGGGGAGAAGGCTGGTTTGAAAGGGTCAGTGTCCATGTAGTCTATAATGTGCAGCTGTGTTCTTCCATTTTCCTGGTATGTTTGTGTCCAGGGCTCAGTTTGGGCAGGCTTTTAATAGCAATTTGGAGTGAGATGAAAGTGCCAGCAAACAGCATGTTCAGTGCCTGGGCATGGAGTGGCCACTCGGGTTTATTTACAGGACTACCTTACACGTTTTTCTCAGCAGCCACACCAACCCCAGTTTTCTGCCTTCAAAGCATGAAGACGTCATGGCAACACCACCATTTCCACCCAGTTACTCATCTGACATGAGATTCTTGTCTAGCATGTGAAATTGTAGAAGGCCCACAGCTGGCAACTATAAATTCCCACCTTAATGGGCCATGTCAGACATGTAGCACAGGGCAACTCTGCTGGGAGGGAACCTGAGACAGGATGCCTGAGGGAGGAGTGTTTCCATGCAGCACTGGCCGTGGGGAGAAAGCATTTGTGTATTTGGCAGTGAAAGGGACCCAGGTGGTCCTTCAGGCTTCCCTTCAGGTCTTGGAGGGAACACCCAGGGCAGAGGGGCTTTGCAATAATGCAGAATTGGGTTCCCCAAGTACATGGTCCCTTGGTGGTGACTTGCAGAAAGTGCCTGTAAAAGACTAGAATGAGGTTTTGTTCTTGTCTGGCCTATCAGAGGTTTAAAAGTTATGTTATTCACTCTTCCAAACTTAACCAAAGCCATGGTCGGTTGGGTAGCTGACTGATTGCTTACTTCAGAGCTGTCCAGATGTAATTGTTCTAACTCACAACAGATTCTTATTTAATTGTAGTTCCCTTTTGCTGGATAATGTTTACTGAGGTGATCAATTTGCTCTTGTTCTGGTACAGACATTTTGAGGAGTTTTTGGATCTTTATTCCTCCTTTTTTCCCCCTCCTGTTTTTGCCTTTCCCGCACTATGACTTGCAGCCCTGGTTTGGGCAAGGGGAGCTGTTGCCTCCCCTCCTGTCCATGTTGGCACCAGCCTATGCTGTGCCTGTTGTTAGTTATACTGCTCCTCTTTTTTTTTTTTCCAAGACATGAAGGAGGGGTGCATCTCTCTCCAAATGCTGAGTGTTCTCTGCATCTGTGTCACAAATAAAGGAGGAAGCAGTAATGCTTTCTGCTATTGATTTAATAACCTGTTCAAAGAAGTACAGCAAAGCCCTGGAAAAAAAAGTTACTGAGAATTTGTGGTGTTAAGTTCTTGAAACATAAAACCGGGACTGGGCTCTGCCTCGAGCTCTTATGTTCAGCACAGAGGGTCGGCAGCATTTGTGAGGGGAAAAAATGCTTTATTTTGCAGCACCAAAGGTTGCAGTCACTTTCTGAATGCTTTATATCTGACAGGTCATCTGTAGGTTCAGCTGGTGCTTTTCTCTATCCAAATGATGATTAGAGAATACTTTAGATAATTTAAAGCACTAAAAGTCAGCTGATCTAAAAAGAGTTCTGTGAAATGCGGTTTAGAGTAGTCGGGAAATTAATCACTTGGAGAACCCCTGGCGTGTTCTGTCTTTTGAACCTTCTCATAATTCCTCTGAGTTCTGCCAGGAAATCAGAGGGGGAAATCCTAGTGTAGCTAAATTAAGAGAAGATTGTGGATTCTACCCCACAGCTGAATTGCCAGTGGCATGCACAGTGTTCAGTGAAGAATTGCCAGACAGACTTGTATCTGTGATTAGCATTTCTCATGAGCAAGGACTTTGCTGTTGGGCAGCACTGGTGAGAGGCTGCACACTCCTCGGGCTGCTTTCTCCTGGTCTTCCAGGAGTCTGGAAGCTGACTGTCCACTTCCAGTGCACCCCAGCAGTGAAAGAAGAATGGCTTTATCGGGTTTTCCAAGCGCAGTGTTAAACTCACAGCTGGGCTGTGCCGGGTGTTGGTGACAGGTGAACACTGAGCACTGCCAGAGCAGGAGGCAGAGGGCACAGGAGAGGGGAACACAGCTGTGTTCCTGCTGGGAATATCTGGAGGTGCCCATGGCAGCCTGTGCTCTGGAAGGACATGCATGTTTTGGAAGATGGTTATTCTGTCAGACAGTGAAATCCCATGTGTCCCCCACATCAGCGATGAGGGAGCAAGCGGGCAATGGGAGAGTGGTCGGAGGTGACCAGAACAGCTGCACACACTCCTGCTCTCTGCAGCAGTGTCCTCTGAAACATCAACTTCTGCATTTTCCAAACAGATTAATCAGTGCGTTGTGTCTCTGATGAAGCAGGTTTATTTTCAGACACATTTATAAGTTGAGTTTTTTTCTGCTTTTTAAGAAGTACCATCAAAATAGACCTTTTGCAAGCAATTGTCTCCCTCTTAACAGCAGATTTATGGCTACTGGCCAATACTGTCCTAATAATATATCCTGTTGAAAATTGGTATTTATGTATCAAAAAATGCTTTAAAAGCAGGTAAATTAAGTACCATGTTAATATAAATGTCAGTGAAAATATCTGACCTAAAGTTCATTAATATTCAAAAGAAGCTTCTGAGAATGTGGTAGAGGAAGGACTGCATAATACCTATACATTGCCCATATTTTGTTTGGAAAATATATACCTTAAGCATTTCAGCAGTTGAAGTCCAGCTTGGGAGAACTCATAAAATTATATTAATATATGAGAAGAAATGTAAAACTTGGGTTACTTACTTAAGGTGTTCTTCTTATTGTTCAGGTGACATTTTTTTAACCCACAAGAATTAAATCTACAGTTCTGGGTTGGACCTTATGTGGCCCAGAACAGCTCACGTAAATTTTAGTTATTACAAAACAAATAAAACCTTCCTTTCTAAAACTTAAGAGTAGGCAGTGCCCTCATCTTAGCAAACAGTTCTTCCTAAATGTAAAAGAAACCCCCCATAGATTCTGCTTTTTGTTGCACATGCTGGGGGCTCTCCCTCAGCCCTTATGTTGTTCAGTTCCCTACCACAGCAGTTTACCAGGTCCCTGTAAGGTTTTATTTGCCTGCTGGCACGTGCATTTTGTTGTCTGGGTAGCTCATGTACGAACAATTCCTTGAGATCAAAAGCTTTTGCAGAGAACAACCACGTGCAGCTCCTTGCTCAAATACTGGCCTCAATTCTTTATCCCATTCTCAGGATAATTATAGCCCCAAAATTGCAAAGTAGGAGTGGGAGTTCATACAAATATTTGTAGGACTAAGAGAGGAAAAATTGAATACCGAGTTCTGTGCTACGAAACGGTAGGAAAGCCTCTGTGGTAGTCTTTAACTGAAATATTTTAATTTTAGGAGCAGGTCCCTGTTCCTGTGTATCACCCAACTCCAAGCCAGACCCGGCTGGCCACACAGCTGACAGAAGAGGAGCAGATCCGGATAGCGCAGCGGATAGGCCTTATCCAGCACCTACCTAAAGGAGTCTATGATCCCGGGAGAGACGGCTCCGAAAAGAAGATCAGAGAGTAAGTCACAGTCACACGTGGCTGTTGCCTTGCTTTGTGACACTGCCCTGGGAAACCTGATCTTGCCATTCTGTTTCTGCCTTATTTTCAGGGACTGTAATTTAACGTAGCTGTCTGAAAAAGGAAATGGCCATGCAGGAGGCTGATGTTATGAGTGGCATCCCTGCCTGTGACAGTGGGGTGGGATTCACTGAGCTTTAAGGTCCCTTGCAATCCAAACTATTCTGTTATTCCAAGGCTCTTGCCTCTCTCCTATGCAAGGATATTCCTCACAGTATCTACAAATGCTAAAGTCCTCCAGGAGTAGATAGTACACTATTTCTCATTTCCGGTTTGGTAACAGCAGCTTCAATATTTTATTTTTTTCCCCCCCCCAGATGTGTCATTTGTATGATGGACTTTGTTTATGGGGACCCTATCCGATTTCTGCCGTGCATGCACATTTACCACCTGGACTGTATAGATGACTGGTTGATGAGATCCTTTACCTGTCCATCCTGCATGGAGCCAGTGGATGCAGCACTGCTTTCATCGTATGAGACTAACTGAGCCAGGGTTTCTCTACTGAACCTCCAAGGAGACCATCCACTTCAATGGGTTTGATCCTTTTGTCATTCAGCCCAAAGAGCCAGGAATTAGGAATTAAGATCATGCACAAAGTATACATTTCCTAATAAATAAATAAAAAAAATATTCCTGAATGGCTGCAAATATTGGAAAACATAGTATTTTAGAGACTATAGAAAAGTAGGTTGTTATTTTTAATGTAAAGCCTTGACCCACCATTGTCTTTTAATGTTTGTTCTTACACCCATATATAGGAATTGTGTAAAGTGTTACAGCAACTGTAAATGTTTAAACTGCGTGTATCCAATTTTATTAGCAGCAAGATAAGAGTATTTTTTTCCTAAATAAAGTAACCAGTTTTGTTCTGATTCTTTTCACAAGTCCTGGCATTTGGGTCAAGGCTTTATTGAAATCTACATTTTATAACACTGGCACAAAGAAATAGTTTTAAGCTTGTTTGCACAGTTCTTTTTCTTTTTTTTTTTTTTCATTGGAGATGGAATTCATTGCCTTAGGTCTTTTTAATAGTGTATTGTTATTGTTGGGCTGGCTCTATGCTTGAAAACCAGTTTATTTATAACCTGTTAAAAGTGCTATATTTTGTTTGCAGTTAGGAATATGCAGACTTCAGAGTGATCTCCTAGCTTGTAAGCAAACTGAGATGCATTATCCCTTTTCTACTAGTGATACAGAATATGAAGATATAAGACCTACAGTGAAACTATGGTTTCATGGGTTTTTATAACTTCCTTGGGTTTTGATGAAATAACAGTCCTTAAACTTTAATATGTGACCTTTAACTTGATCAGATTAAAAGTGGGCCGGATGAACAATAAATAGTTAAGCTGCCATAACTGAAAAAAAAAAATATATTTGGAACTAATGTAGTGTTAGTATTGATCACTTATTCTACTTCTTTCTCCCTAAAGATGGTTGTCTTGGATCATAGCAAATGGATACTGCATCTCTTGTTCTTGTAGTCCTTAGGTTATCAGAAGTTAAGAATAAACATACTGTATCTCAGTCTCCTGTATTAAATGTATCTGTTGAGCCCTGCTGGCTGACACATCAGTCCACCAAACAGGAATGAACTCATAGAGGAGAGAATTAGACTTTGTTCTGCACATAAATGCAAAGTTTTATATAAACCCAGACTGTCAAGAGTAGCAGTGGAGGGGGCAAACAGTCCTGCTATAGCCAGAATGACACAATTAGCTTATTCCTAGTATGTGCTTGTTAAGAGAGGCTCTGGCAAAGATTGTAGCTGTAAAGACCTTTTTCCACTTAGCATGATTTTTTCCTTTTTTCTTCCCCCCCTTGATGTACCTACTGTGACCTTTATACATTCAGTGCCACCCTGATACAGTGAGAAGCCCTGGTCTTGTGAAATGCAATCTCAAGTTAACCACAGCAAACTGGGGGATGTTCTTGATTGTGCTTCAGCTACAGTTTGAGTTATTGATACAAAAAGTTGTGTTTAACAAACCAAGTCCTCTGCGGACTTACTGCATTTACAGTGTAGGAGAATTGTGCAGGTTACAGATAACTGGTCAGCAAAATGGAGTCAACATGTTTGTTTGTTATTCCTGCAGCTGACAGCACCCTGCTCCCTTAGAGAAGAACTCCAGAAGGAACTGAAAACACTCTGCAGTTCTAGATTCACTCAAATGGCCACACATTTATCTATTTATCTGGACACAATGTTTTGCTGAATTAATACATACTTAATTACATGGATCAAAATCTGGGAAGAGAGACCTGAAGTTGTGCAATATCATTGTTCTTTTTCATCATTCCATGTGTGTTCCTTTGTGTCCTCCTTTTTTGTCTGTTTGTTTCAGGGGTTGGGTTCTTTTTTTTTTTTTTTTGGTATAACAATGTCCACATTAAGTATTCATTTCTTTATCTTGTTAAAAACTGGCAAATGAACAATTTGAAAAAACCAGTGTTGTCATGGTGGTATTAGTCTTTATTTATTACAAGACTTGATTAAGAAACATTTAAAAGAAAGGAAGTGATGGATTACTGAGCTGAATGCTTTCCTAGGCACTCTGTGCAGCTGAACTTTTAACACTGATATACTTACTGGGCTAAGGGAAGAAATTCCTTTCATTAAAATACTTGTTAAATAGCAAAAAGGTGTGAAGGGCTAAACCTAGAGCAGATTACACAAAAACATTCCAAAAAGTTTAAATTTTACCTTAAAGACAAATATGTAAATATAACAAATAAATCAAATGATTTTTCAAGTTTTTAGGTGCAGTGCTGTTCTGGATGATTTCTAATTCAAAGAAGAACTGATTTGAACTTAACGCAAAGTAATGTATAACCTTAATTTTAGCTACAGTTTTGGAACCAGAACTGTGTCTTAATTCTGAGATGATTTACCTCTTGTGTCAGAGTAGTCTAATAAATTACTCACACTTCAAACACATTAAGTCCATTTACAGCACAGCTGTTTCCCAACCAGAGCCTGCTGGGAAGGGCTGGCCTCTGACTCACCTGAACCTCTTCACCCATAGCCCTTCTTATGCCAGGGCTGTATGTTTTGGGGTGGGCAGGCCCATAGGAAAATGCCTGCAAAGTGATTTGAAGGAAAAAACCAACAAACAAAACCCCCTCTTACTGTGTGCAACCACCTGAGTTTGTAGATGCCTCTTGCATGCTACAGGAATTACCACTTCAATCATTTCACATCTAAGGATGATAATCCTCATTACCTGTTGGCAGTTCATTATGTAAATCTGGGAGAGAATCATAAAATACATAAACAAACAAAAAAAGCCAACCCAGAGAATTTCTTCGTGAGGAGCTGGTGGTGTAGAAGGGCTTGAGCCACAAAAGGGTTTAAAAGTTCCTACAGTCCTGCAGTTCCCCAGGGCTGAAAGCAATTCTGTGTTTGGAAGGCTGACAGTGTCCTTTTGCAGTGGCAGGAGGGTACATTTCTGGGATAAGGGATTAGGAAATACCTGAACTTACTTCAGTTGCCACAGTTTCAGGGCTTTGACATTTCCTGTCCTTGTGCAATTGTGGTAAAGATGAAGATTCTTTTGAGTTAGACTGTCAGTAAAATAAGTAACAACATGGCTGAACCCAAATGTACAGGGCCTCTCAGCAGTTAAATCCTGGATTAAAATGGACTCAGAAACAAAGTGGATGCCAGCTGATATAGACACAGTTTGTTAGAGACACCACATTTTATTAAAAGCATACATTCTAGCTGACAACCTATAAAACACATGAATAAGATCTGTTCAGAAGAAACCTTCTTGACTTAATACCCAGAATAAAAATTAGTTTCAAGGATTAACTTCTGCTTTTATATAGCACTTAACTTTGAAGAATATAATTTATGCTAACCATCCTTTGCAGATTATCTCGCATTTAAACCTGTTCTGGGATAAGAGTTCAGGGCTTTGGAATGCAAAGTTAATGCCTTGTGATAAAAGAACAGTTTAAACATACTCTGCAAAAGCATCTTTTTGATTTAAGCAAAAGAAATAACTACATTTTCATGCTAGCAACTGATTTATTACAGCATCCACTCTGCACTGATACTTTGCTAAGAAAAGCTGCAGAGAGGAGTCTATAATGAAAAAATTCTTTGTGCAAAAGGCTGTCTGTGTTCCCAGCAGCACAGAGGTATGTGCTTACTCAGCAAGAGGGGCCCAGCCACACCAACTGCACACAAAGAGCCCCCAGCCTTCCCCTGTCCTCTCAGTTGGAAAACAAGCAGCAGTAACTTCATAAACCTGTTCTTTGCAGCACCAACCCCTCCAAAACATTTGTCTTTATTTCAAATAAGGCATTTCAACACCTCTGCTCACAACAGTGAATGTTCCATTCACCACACACATCACTGGCTGCCCACACTGAGCACTTTTCCTGGCCTCACTTTTAGTCCCCAGATGCACTTTGGCTGGGTTCTCACTGCACAGTGACAAACTTCAAAAAGCTTTGGCTACAGAGCCTGCTACTACTGTGAGTATGCATACAGAGATGTTTTGTGTATATCTATATATGCTTTCTGTGTGTGTGTGTGTGACAGATCAGACATTGATAGACCTTTAGCAAAGGCACCACGCATGGAATTCCTGCTGTTCCTTAGAAATACCAAGAAGTATTTGCACCAGTGATGAGCCCAGCATCAGAGAATGGAAACCTAACCCACGACCCAGGTATGCACAAGCCATAAGAAGAAAAGCCAAAGCAAATTTTTCACAGTAACAATCAAACCATTGGAATAATCTCCCCAGAGACACTTTTAAGATTCAGTTGGACCAGGTGCTGGGCCACCTTGCCTGGACTGGGCTTTTGGCAAGAAAGGTTGGACCCTGAGGTCCCTTCCAACCTGGTACTGTATCATGCTATGACTAAAATACCAAAACACTAACTGGCCCTGATGTTTGCTTCTAAAAATAACCTCTGCAGCTGCCCAACAGAGGCTGTGCAACCTTGGGAGCGATGACAGCAGATGAAGATGACATTGAACATGATCCCCGTGTTCTTTGACCCTCCAGAGTTGCTTCACCTCCCCACAATGATTTACTGAGCTCCACTGACCGTCAGAGATACAGGAGCAGAGGCAGCTTCAGGCACCTCATACCAGCACCTTCACCAAAACCCCAGGAAAAGCACCACGTTCACAAGCACCAGCTCACTGTAGAACTGCACCTGTGACATTGTGGACACCAAGCACGGCCCCCAGGGCTCCAGCACTGCAGACAAGCAGCCTGTAGAACTCCTGCACTAAGGAAGTTGTTCCTCACCTCCACACCCTGTGTGCTGCAGGATAAAAGGAAGTGAGAGGAAAACTGCCCAGAATATTGCAGCTTCTACTTATCTTCTCTTTCTCACCACATCACTATGGTACTTTTAGGCCACAGACCTGAAACTGCTGTTGATGTACTTGTTAAACTTTTTTCTCTCTTTTTTTTTTAGTTGAATCAGCCCATAAAGAACACACAGGGGGTTATGACTGCTCTGTTTTGTATTCTTTCTGTAAAATAGTCAAGGAGAGAGAAAGCAGGTAGGCTTCACTGCAATGCATAATTCTAAATAAACATTTAGCCAGCAATGAAGGTAAGTAGGTCTAGAGATTTAAAAACCCCAGAAAATAATGGAGCCCAGTCCTACAGAGGCATGGTTGAATTTGAGCAAACGCCATGCAGAACTTTACCACAGTGCAATGCAGGTATTTATTAGCTCTGTGCTGTTCATAAATCTTGGAGACAGGGATTGACTGGGCATGTTTTTAAATGAAAGTATTTGTGACTTTTTTTTTTAACACCTGAAGCAAACCTAGATAGCATCTTTAAGATACTTTAAGATGACAAATCATTCAATTAAAACACTTGCTGGTACACGCTTTGCACATAATCTACCACCAAAATGTATTTGCAGAACGTGATGAGAAAAGAAGCAAATTCATTTCTAGTCTGTTCAGGTTTCCCAATCTCGTTCATCAGTGACGTTACCAACCATTAACCACTTTCCTGTACAGCAGTAAACAACATGACTCACCTCTTTATCTTCTCCTCTTCCTCCCAGAGGGCGAACTGAGTTGAATGTGTTGCTTTGGTCATTTCATACACATTTGCTTTGCTGCCATGTTTTTATGCTTATTAAGAAGGCAAAGAAATGCATCTTGCAGGTGCATCTGGAGTCTGAGTGTTGTATTTAAAGCCATGGGAGTGCTTTTTGCATTCTGGGGCTGACCTCTAGGAAAGCCTTGTCTCCTACAGAAGAGCATTACTTGATCCTTCTGTTCAGCCAGAGGCACACAAGCTGTCACAGCTGTCAGCCCATGAGCTTTTAGTAGTCTTGGACCTAGGCTGCAGATAACTAAAAATACCAAGGCACTCAGTATAGAATTTAATTCCAAAACCAGTGTGAAATGGGAGGAAATGCTTGATATGATCCTGTTCTATGCTGCTATATTTTATAAAATGCAGTTTCCTAAGCCAAGTTTTGAATGTGTAAACAACCTGAGGCCAGGCTCAGTTAAGAGGGGACAATCTTTAAACTAACCATCCATG